GTCATCCATCTTTTTGTATTAAGCGACGCCTAAATGTCCCTACTTAGGTCCGTCTGTCCGTTGTTCTTCATTCGCACTTCTTCCCTCGGTGTTTGCTCCATGCAAGGGCGTATCCACACCCTGTACAAATGAAAGAAGATTCTGGCAAGCGAGGCTGGTTACGGCATAAGATCGTCTGACTTCCTTCATCCTACCTATTGTTCTGCATCTCTTTTCGAAGGAAACTACCAGAACTGGGGTGTAGGGATGTAAAGCACAATTGACTGACAACTGATTGGACACGATCTACACACTTTGGAATTTTCTCATCTACCCATCCGGATAGGATAGGCTAGGTCTGGCGGCGGCATCGGCTCTTCGCATCGTGAACGCACATTGCCACTGGCAAACATGCACGAATTCAATCGTTTGAAGCTCTAATGCGTAGCTACACTCTCATATCAGTTCGCGGATTATGGAACCTTGGACACACCACTTGCCACTAATAATGCGCTTGTATTATGATTAAGGAGGGGAAGAAAGCCACGTTTGCCTAGTTTGCTTGCAGTACAATTTGCTTCTTTAAATTACTTCAAAAGTTCTTTTAAGGCAGTTACTCAGGAATTAGCCGCTACTGTTGCCACTGGCGCATTAGAGCTCAAAATTCATCCTGGTGTTTTGTGGTGGTTAAAGATCCCAATGTTTTCTCATTTAATTATGCGGATATCGGGATACCTATGGTTTGAAAAGAGCGTAAAGGTTGGCGCCAGATGCTAGTAAAACTTACGCTAAGCTCCACCTCAAAGAAACTGCTTTTCCTAACGGTAAAATCCACAAACCCTGTAGGATTTTAAAGAAAGCAGTTAAAGCGGGTCTGAAGATTATGCGTTTGATGTTGGCGTTGTGACGGACCAATCACTGATGCTCACTTCTTGGTCCTTAATTGCCAAGTGTTATTCTTATCTCTAGCTAGAGACGCGATATTTTGTGGCTGTGAAGTACTACGGTCCAGATCCTTCATCTTCAATAAGAAATGCTCTCTTCTCGCCATACGAGAGAGAGGACTTTGAACACACTGCTACCTACACACCTCTGCGGCCTTGATGCGTCTCCTCTCCCCCCCACCTCCTCCGGCGCCCTCCTTACCCCACTGTGTACATACACCCTTCTTGGTTTTCCCCTCCTCGATATGCAACCCTGAATCTCATTTTCCTCCTTGTGGTGGATGATTTTACGCCCACTTCCCTCGCCCACTATACATGTACGTGCACGGTTCCTCTCGAGCAGTGGACCCACTCAGCCTTTTTCTTTTCCTCTTCACACTCATTGTACTTCGTGTTCTGATTACGTAGGGCTCCCCTGCTTCTCGCCTTTTACTTGAACTGGTTTCTTTGTGTTTGTTTGTTCCCGTCTCTGCGTGTGAGTGTGCTTATGGTGAACAAATTTGTCCGCCCTCTTTTAATTCTGCCTTTTTCCGTCGCCCTTCCTCATGCTCCTTCGAAGTGAGTAGATTATACTGACTGTGTTCTCACCGGTCGACTCACCTCTTGATAGTGACTAGGTGTGGGTAGTTCAAGTTGAAATCACTCTCCTGGTGTGATCTAGAAATTAAACAGTAAATATAGGTCATCTGAGGTGAAGCTCTAGGTTGGGGCTTTGCTATCACCATTTTTTCAAGTTAAAAAGCATCACCCAAGTTGTCCCCTTCCAGACTACCAAAAATTATAGTCGAATGGAGGGACTCAGATGTCGCAATTGCAAATCTATCCACTCGTATGAGAATAAAGGTTTAGGGCCAGACCAGAGATCTCCGGGGGAGGACAGGTGGCTCACGGTTGTCCTCTCCCCCTTTTGTTGCAGTGTCGTAGGCAGTGCATGGGTATGCTATGTTAGTTCTGAAGTGGAGGGCTTGGATCCATACTATGTGATTCCACAAGGGTCCGGTATTTACCCTGCGAGTTGAACAGACGTGATATAAAATAGAGAGTGAAGATAAGAAAGCGTGTGAAACGGTCATCGGACGCTGAAATGCAAATCTGTTTGAATTGACAGGGTGATTGCTGCTCCTATGTCGAAGTCTTTGTCAGATTTCCAGCTAATCAACAATTTTTAGCGCACTGGAAGTGAAAGTTCTGTCCAAGCCATGTCGCAGGGTTTGTTCAAATCAGAGCAATCGTCTATTTTACATTAAGGCCTGAATGAAATTCCACAAACGCCCCCGAAACGCATCGTATTGGGCTGAACATGGTTCTGAGCAAATAATCATGGAAGGATTTCCCCTCAGCATTTGAAGTGCTTGTGGAGGGATTCCGAAAAATGGTTTTTACTTGAAGGTTTAGGTAATCCACTTAGTAGGAGTATAATTACTGCAGTCGAGACTTACCAGTTGGTTTTATCACATTTGCGGAACCCGACGCAATTCTGCATGACTGAATCGGAATGGCTCATGGGATAGTAAGCCACTATCTAAAGTAGATATTCCATACTTAACTAAGGATGGATGTTCAGGGATTAAGAAATGAGTTGTGGAATTCACCTATTAGGTACAAAAAATCCTTTTCGAGCTACTGATTGGAGTATAAGTACTATCCCCTCGCCTCTTGCAGGAAACCTTCCTGCTGATGGAGCTATTCAAAGTCTAGCGAGGTCGTTTATGACGTACACTTCGAATGCTGAATCCGATTAATGCTGTGCAAGTGCTAGACATCATGACACCAACATCGTCTTCATGTACCTCTAAATTGCCCTGTCTTTTTGTATTCGAAGATTTTGGGTTTGCTTGAATTTGCGACTTTCCAGCTGGTACAACTTCAGTATTTGGTGGGATGAATTTAGGTGTAGTAATTCTTAAGAAGCCACCTCCTAGTTATTCAAGCACGCAGTCACCAACACTTTTCACCCTCGTCTGACGTGACTCACTAGGTGTGGATCATCGTGATGACAATAACACCGCCCATTCATGTGGGTGAACCCATCACCTTTTGCCTAATCGTCTGCTCTGCAGAGTATTTGCGTAACCACTTCTGAACTCTCATTCATGCTCTTTTAGAAGTTAGTAAGGTATTTCACAATTTTTTTTTGTAACTCCTTACAGCAGCTCATCTTCCAATCTCTAAAACAGTGAATCCTTTAAAAATCGCTTCTCTAAGTAGAGGTGGCATGCTTTCTTAAGAAGAATGTCCCTATTAAGGCGATTTCACAATTCAGATTCAAATCTGAAATATCCTAGAGAAATGGACAAACCGGCTCAATTAATTGTCAATTCTCAAACCCAAGTCGAAGAGTGGGTGGCTTGGCTACGGATCAAGTCGAATTCGCCTCGGATGTTTCAAAAATGAAATTAGTAAATAAACCATCGTGAAAAATCAACCAACACTGTTGTGCACACCACCAGCAACATAGAGCGGCCTAATGTGAGATGTAATTTTCAGTAAATTTGGGCAAACAATGGCCTCATCAGCCCTTTCCCCTTTTTCAAAATTTTATTGCATAGAGCTCTAAGTTAGACAGTTGTGTGGGCATCCCTAGTTAAAGGGTGGAACTCCCAAAGGGTGCTGTTTCCTTTAAATAACAAGCATTCACGGTGGAAGTAAAGCTATTGCATCAGGACAAGAGGAGGTCTCCATACTGAGCTGCTGCCCGAATAGGGCAAGAGCTGTGGACAAAATGAATGAAAGGGCGATATGCCTCCTGTTGACAGGTCATGCGCATAATAAAGCAGCTATCTAATGACAGCGGTGCGTGACCACGGGCCAGACACTTCAGCTAATAAAGGGAAAAAAGCTCTTTTATCCATAATTCGTAAAGAAAGGGGTACAAATTTCCAGAACACTTCGTTATAGTGAATACCATGGACACAGATCTACAAAGTCTACCAGTGTTGTTTTCGAATTCCAAATCAGATATACGCACAAAATATATTATTAAAAAATACTAACGCATAAGGTTCTGCCTTAATCTCCTCATCTTCCCTCCTCTTCCCCTGAGAGCAAGTAAGGTGACTAGGTAAGGGTATATTTTATCGGTAATATTTGGAGCGAGGGCCATGGATCAGGAGTACGCCCGTTCACAACACTCTTCCACCCCAAGGATTTTTTGACGATCCCTCCATTACGCAATTCTTGTTGACTGATTGCTCCGTCTCTCTGGACTGCATGTTTTCTCTCGTCTTTTTGAGCACCTTTATTTTTTTAATATGCCATCACGGAGGTGGTTTTCTCTTCCATTAGTGCGGAAACTGGTGTACCTTTGCAGCGCAGCATCTTGTGGTGAGCGGTTATGCACTGGCAACGAAGTTGTGCTTTCATTACCCGGGACGCATCTATCCTCCGCAGATGTCAAAACCTGCAGCGTGTTTCAGTTGCCCATTTGGCCTGAATAGTTGTACTGGCTCTCCTTCGCGATAGACGTCAGTCTGGCTGTGTTTTCCGTAATACTTCTCCCTGATATACTGCGGCTTTAAGGGTTTACGTGCAATGTTGAGAGTTTGTCTTCTGCCTTCTTTCAGTAGCACTACATACTCGGGGACGTTGTTGGTTGCTATTTCCGTGCTCGGTAAGAACATATCGGAGGGTACTCTCATTTCATAACATAGGAACATCTTAAACGGTGATACACAGTCAATGTATGGACAGTAGCCCTGTAAGCGAGGGAAACTAGTGGTAGGCTTAAATCCCAGCCTTCAGGTTATGCATCCTTGCAGGAGGCCTTCAGTAGTCCTTTCCATCTGTCCATTCCATTGCGGATGTCCAGATGTCGTGCGTATTCTGGAAATTCCAAAGATCCTGTATAGTTCAGTGAAGTGTAGGCTTTCGAAATTAGGACCTTGATTACCATGAACCGTTTTGGGTGTTCGATGCTGACAAATCCGCCAAGTGAAGAAAGCTGAGAGAACCATTTCAGTGTCTAGTGGTTTCATGGGTTCTGGGTCAGCCAATTTCGTGAAGTAATTTACCATAGCCAGAGCACTTCGGTTCCCTCTCTTGATAAACGGAAGAGGACACATAATGCCAAGACCTACTCTTTCCCATGGGAATCCCGTGGGGATGGGCTGGAGTGGTACGACCGCTGTGAGGTGAGGCCATTTAAAACTGCTGCAGGTGACGCAGGTTCGGCAGAAATCAAGTACGTCTGGATTAAGCGGAGGCCACCAGTACCTTTTTTTTTAAGGCGCCTGGCATCTTTTCTTCCACGCAGCCCAGTTGTTCGTATGACTCTTAGCGAACTGCTTGTACCAATAATAATCCAGAGATCACTAGGCGTTTAAAACAACTAATGCCTTCTTAGTACCATAAGACCCCATCATCTGGGAAGAGTTTTTGGCCATTCTTGCCATATCCATCCAGTAGTCTCGCTCGACTAGATCATCTCACTCTCGTATATCAGGGCCATGTCGGGCTTAGCACTCTACGTATTTCCCCAGTGATGTTTACCAGATTGCCTCATGGTTATGGTGCGCACTACAACATGGACAGCTTCTGCCACGACCGGTCTGAAACACAATGTCTGCATTACTATGCCTTTTCCCTTTCTTGTACTGTTCTGTGACATCGCACTGCTGCAGTTCTTCGTACCAGCCTGCATCTGAGCGGTCGATCATCTCCAATCTTCTTTTAAACCAGGTGAGTGCCTGATGATCCGATCTGACTACGAGCTTCCTCGCTATCGGATGGTACCTGAATTGTCTAACTATTGTGAAGACAGCAAACAGGTCACGTTGTGTTGCACTATTCTGTCTCATTTCTTTTTGCTAAATCTTACACTCGTGTAGGCGATGACGTGTTCCATTCCTTCAATGGTTCTTTGTGAGGTTATACCGCCCACGCCTGCATCACTAGTGTCAGTATTTAGTGCAAATGGTAGGGCGCTCGATCCGAAGTGGGGCATTGCTGGAATCCGTGCAGAGCAGAGCATTTGCTCCAGTTCGTAGAACACTTCATCATGTTCCTTCGCCCAGTTGAAATTCCTTTTTGTCTGCTTTTTGGTTAATTTATGCTGTGGGCTGGCGATCTTAGCATAGCCTTTAACAAAGCGTCTGTAGTAAGTTGCTGAATCTGGGAAACAACGGAGTTACTTCTGGTTGGTATGTGTTGACCATGCCCTCACTTGTTTTGCACAGAGCTCGCTAATTGCCATGCCATCTAACGAGACAATACGTTCTAAGTTATTTGCCGCCTTCGGAGAATTTTCCAAGCACATCTCGTAAGGACCCATGTAAGTCCTATTCATTATGAATTGCAGTTAGCTTTTGAAACTAATTTAACTCTGTTAAAATTGACTCACACTCAAATATCCACTTTAAATTAAAATGTAGTTTTTCATCACGCCAATTTTAGGCAGCTGTCACGTTGTGTTACGTGACTCGAGATGGAAGCATTGAAGTCTTCCATTATTATGGACTGGCATTGAGCGTGGCAAGCGTGAAGGAAAATGACCTCCAAAATGGCAACAGCAAAATGAGCATACGGGCGGCTGGGTGTTGCTTCTAATATGAAAAGGGACAAAATTCAAGAGCTGGAATTTGTAAAACTACTTTTCCAAATGGAAAATCAGTCCTTCTTATCAGCTCAGAGTGGTGAAACGCTGATTCGTTTGTCGGATGGGTAAATTCCCACTAGCTTAGGGACTGATCATGGTTCCATAATTATTAAAAACATACTTTTTTGAAAAAAAATCGGCTTATTCAATTTAATTTTAGGTGTTTGAAGTCTTAAAGTTTGCTAAAATCATCTCCCTCAACTTAACTGTCATTTTTTCTGCGGTTCTAGCAAACAGAGAGTGAATAAAAGGGGACTCAGAGTTGCATCAAGTACGAATAAGTGGATTTATAAATTGCCGAAGAGACACTGTGCAATTTTGCAGATTTGTATCTTCTTCTCTAAGGCTTTGGTATTCTTAATAGAACTGTTTCGATGGAATTCTCAGCATGGCTACCTTTTCTTTTCAAGTAGTTTGTTATTTTGATCGGTGAACGCAGGTTACAGGGCATCTATCCGTGGATTGGCTTTGTGTTGGCATTCTAAAACAGCAAACACCACCGCTTATTGCTATCGGCTAAATTGCTTATCCCAAGTGAAATGCATTAATGAATATATGGCGCCCCAGGTCTTCCCAGAAGTCAAAATACTAGGAGAGAAAATGTATTACCGACGAACAGAAGTGCTGGGGGTTACTGGCATGGTCATGCCGCCCTGCGAAAATATGAAGGCAGGGCATTAAGTACCCATAAAACTGCAACGGAGAGTTAAACAAGGACTCAATATGTAACATAGCTTAACTCCCCCTTCGCACGCCGTCCTCTGCAATCCCATTGGTCATCGTCCAACATCGCCCATCACAGCGCAGTCGGTGCCATGAGAAAGAGTGTTCCTGAACTAGCCGCGCCAGTTATCGAAGTTGTGTGCAATTAAGAAGGCACTCAACCACAACGTCACCGATCTCACTTGGCAATTCCACTGGATTTGGAGTTCTACAGTGTTTAGGGATGGCTATGAGGGAAGGAGAATGTGTTAGTCATCTCAAATGCCCATTGCTAGTCAGGAGAACACTGGCCTGAAGGCAGAGTCATCTAATAAGAGACGGGAGTTAAAATAATTCTGAGGCGATAGTAATTCGTGCAGACTTCTCCTGGCAACTTTCTGCCCACTACAGTGCTACTTGGTTGACGTCTTCATACAAGTACCGTAGTCAGTTCCGTAAAGAACTTTCAAGATGGGTTACGGATCATATCGATTCCATGGTTAATAGCAATCCCGAAGACCGCAAGGCTGGAGTAGATGCCAAGAGTAGCCATCACTTTTGATCCCTTTGTTAGTGGTCTTCTCATATCCTCCTGTCGCGAGCATATGTACTTCTTCCCTAAAATTCGGGAGAAATGCCCTTCACAATGGTGCTCACATTCCGCTGCAGCCAGTAAAGAGCCTCTATGACATCCTGAAGATGATGAAAGATATGATACTAGGAGGGAAAGTGTATTACTGACGTAGAGAAGGGATAGAGGAGAAAGTTAAGGGCTATTGACACGGTCCGGAGGTCATGTCGCCTATCGGAAGTACAGAAGCAGAGCACTTTGTGGCCTTGAAACCAGAATGCAATGTTAAACAAGCAATCCCAGCAGTACACTGGATATATTAACAGGCCACTACACTCATTCAGGATAAAACTGTATGGCAGTCACAAATAGATTAGTAATATAACCATGAAAATCTACCGTACTCAAGGCGGCACGGTCCCGTTAAAGCGAGCAATAATCTTGACAAATGCGGCAGCAGCTTTGTTGGGGACGCCAACGAGCAAAACGGATCATTAAAACAATATATAAACATTTAGGTATTTACTTATTAATCTATTTCTTCAGTTCTTATGCAGAGACTGTTCACTAGTCCTTGGTCGTGTAACAACGATTAATTAGCCTAACTACGAAGAAGTGACTTTTTCCTCAAAGCAAAGCCTACGCTGGCAATCCACACTACCGAAAGGTAGTAAAACTAAGGCAGCGAAATATGGGCCCTACGTCCTTCGTCTTGGTGATATGACCAATTCAGCAGAAAATTTTACCCCTTGAAGTTAAAATCTAGGGGTGTCAGGATAGTGTAGAATTTGGTCTGCCTGTATGATGACGCTTCATGTCAGATTTACAGTCTGTGCAATTAAAAAGATTTATTCTTAATTTTACCGCCGCAATGTGGTTTACTGTATTCTTGGGAAATTCAGTGTGTCATATCCTGCATTCGTCCCCATTTCTGATAACTTAATTTAACTTTATCCATCGTCAAGTCTAGTAGAGCTGAAGACCAGCTTAGTTTTTGAGTCTGTTCCAGCACTAGCTGAAAGGCATGCCAGCTGACGTCATGATCACTGCATGCTTTAAAGTTAAACATGAAGTAAATGGCTTTCTTACGTAGAAGGTGGTGGGTTGTGCTGTCCCTGGGGTCTGGTGGACGTAAGCATCTTTGGAATCTAAAAATACCTCAGATTTCACAAGACATAGGTTATCATAAAATCGTGAGCATAAACGCACATAATCAAGACAATTCTTGTATATTTTTAGGGGACCGAATAAGCCTTTAACCCCAAAATTCATGCACAATCCAAGTGTACTCTCGCTTATCTCGCCCTATCGTAGTTTTCCATATCAAAACCATTTAATTACCTTTTCTAAAGTAGGGAGAGAAGAGAAGGAGGAAGAGGAGAAATTGCTTCGCTCAAAAGTCCCACTTCTGCGGTGGTTTTTTTATCGTTTGAGGTTTTGATAGACGCATACCAATGTACCGACATTGGGACTCGCGCTCGGAGCCGCAAATGCCTGGGAAGTATGAGTTTGTGAGGGTGTGAGGATACTGAACACAAAAGAAGCACAACGTTACACTGTGCTCTTCATAGGAGGCAAAAGAACTGACCAGGCTCGCCGCTTCAATGCCTCGCACACCCCAACCCCAGCCCACCCCCTCTTTCTGCCCCTCCCTTCCTTCTCTACCCAATTTAACTTCAAAAGTCCCTCAATGCAGAATAAGGTGGCGGTGTGGTGGCCGCCTGTGGGAATTCAACGCACGCTTCTGCGCTTTCCTTTTGTCAACTCAGCCCCGTTTGTCGGGCTTGAGATGATGTGTCAAAATCGTGTCGTTTTCAAATACTTCTCCCAAATAAACGTGGACATTATTCTAATGCCAATTCAACATACTGCAAAATAAATAATCTCTTAACTTCGGAGATGAAGCCAAAAAAATTTATAGTTCGGCAGCATGAAAAATGAGGTTTTAACCCTTTGCTAAGGATAAATTTGAATTGTGGGAAAATACGACCTGTGAATGATGCCTGACTACGGCCAAGAGGTATGAATAGCCTTATAATGTATTAAAGAATAATAAAGATTCCGAGCTAGTAAAGAAGGCTAGGAATGAAGTAATTTGCACATCCACGCCAGTTAATGCCCTCTTCTCATGCACTAAGTTCCATCCTCCTATTTACAATCTTGGAATAAGAGGCAAAAATTTCGGTCCCACTGCCTCAACTTTTGAAGCATCGCGTTTTTTAAAAATTGGCTACGATATACATCAGAGGTGCGTTTTCCCATGATTTGCGATTAAGGACCTTTTTTATTGATGTAAAGTTACATCTGAGGTACTGGGCTCGTCGGAATCTACGGTCTTTACTGGAACATATCGTTTTTAGACTACTTCTAGTATACTAATCCGGTAGTGATGGTCTGTGAGGCTGTATCCTTTACGATATATGTGTATTACCACTTCTTTTTAGAGAGATGATGGCAATTTTAGCTAACGAACCAACAATTTGGAAGATTTCTAAAATGGAGCAAGATTTGGAGTTTTTACAGTAGAATTCGAGGACGCCGATGATTATGAAGCGAGTTGATTCAAAGCCGACTGCTGATAGCCATCCTTCATCGCCATCTGAAAAAACTGTTTGGCAAATCCTTTCTAATTTCGCAACTTCTGCTGCGTTAGAAATCTTTCAATCCTCAGTCGCTTGCTCAGAATGTCAAACTAAGTCCTCAAATCTGAAAACTATCTTTAATTTTAGGCGGTATTCTTTCGCCCTATTTTACTCTTTAAGATAAATCTCTGGCGTCCTTAAAAGATTTTATTGCATATTTTAGCCTTCTCTCGTTAGTAGCATTAAAACCGCGCAAATTGTGTTTTTTCTTTTTGATATCAGTCCACAGTCAATGAAAAATGGCCTAACTACTAAGGTATAAATGTTTTCATCAAAGACAGTTCTTCGTGGCCTAAAAATCCTGGCGACACTTTTATTCCAATTGCCTTCTTTCCTTCATTTGGCCTGGAACGACATTTTCCACATCAATTTATTTTCATTTTTGTTTGCATTTCTTGCAGTCAATTGGTTTGTCAGTTGAAGACCGCTAGCCTACTCTAGCTGCCTTCTTCTTCCTCCACTCCACTCCCACTTGTTTTCTTTACGGCCAAAGGAGTAGTTGATTCACCAGAAAAACGCCCTGAAACGCATGTCCCTGCAATTTTTTATCAGCCGAATTGTGGCTAAAATGCAGTTAAAAACGGGGAAAAGGTTAGTTCACCGGATCTTTCTAATGAGCAGGCAACTAGATTTGTGCGTTGAACGCATCATGCTGGTGAATTACACTACAAAGTGAGTTAATTTTCTGGCCTAACTTGGAATGTGGGTAAAGCTCTAATTTTTATAAGTTCTTCCACACTACCGACTATTGTACAAAGTCGTTGCCAAATCGTGCAGAAAACTTGGGCTCAGGGGTTAGTCACGATGTTGCGATCACCTGTCAAATCGAGGCCTTTCATAGGAAAACAATTAAAAGTCTTCATTTTATCCCTCTTTCAAAATTAAAGATGTTGGTTCGCTGCTATAAGCCGAGGCCTACTCCACAAATGGTTGCATTGAAAGCTCCCGACCATTGAGATTTTCCATTTCAAACGTTCATAAATGGTTCCAACTCTCCTCCAGCAGATATCCTTTTAACGTTTATGCCAATTGTACTTCGTTAGCTCATGTCAGACTGCAATTGATTTAACCAAACATCACCATACCCATGGGGAGTAAAGTTGAAGTCTCGCTTTTTAATTCCATTCTTTCAAGCTTTTAGATGCGCTTACCGTAAGAAGAACGGATTATATATAAGTAGTTAGCTTACCTGTTCTCTTCAGTCTAGTTATTCGTCATATTACTTCCTAAACGTTGCATTATGCCAAACCGGAAGAGATGAGCAGTTTGCAATCTCATATTAACTCGGTTATTCCACCGCTGCCCTTAATCTGGGGATGACAAGTCGCAAAAGCGAAGAAGATAAAATCACCGACGCGAGGAAGAGGGAGAGATTAAAAGGAAGGAGGCTAATAAATGACTCCTTTCCATGCTGCTAATGAAATGCCCCACTCCACACTACCTTTATGGTCTCTACAACTACTTAACACAGCGCATTTCGTCCTTTTTTCAAGAAAAAACTAATCTTTAACATCCTCCATCTCTGCCAATTTTGCCCTTAAGTAAGCTAATTTCTCAACTAGGCGGGATTCCATAAACATGCTGTGGGTCAGCATAATTTTAAGCAAATGGAATCAGCAGAAGCAGCGGTGGTAGTACTCGAGGGTAATTCTTTAATGCCCTCCTAAACTCATGTGTTTAAACTTGTGAGTCTGTTTTGACAGGGCGAAGGGAAGAGGGGAGGGTGGGTAAGGGGCTTTCATGGAGTGGAACGAACTTCTTCTGTCGCCACGAAAATTGATTACGCCTCACACACGCTGCTACCGCTACCAACACCGTAGCCATCACCAACACCTCCTCTCCATCCACCACCACCACCACCACCACCTCCTCCTGCTGCTGCCTCTGCAGCCACACATGCAGAAAAATTAAGGTGTGAGCAGTGTCACATTCTCCTTTGCACGGAGGAGGGAGAAAGGGAGGGAAGGTGGAAAATCTTACTTTCCCTGCCTCTGCCTCCGTGTGCGTGTGTGAGGCACAAACATGTACCTCCTTTCCCCCTCCTCTCTCACGTAGGCAGTAGCAAACTGGTTGAATTTTTACCCTACCAAAGTGCGTTTCGAGTGTAGCCTGCTTTTGTCTCACAAGGATGAACTGTGAACAATTTTGTACTTAGACTCTTGAGGCTAAAACTTCGCCCTGTTTAAATGAAATACTAATGAAGGGTAGCCTCTACTTAACTACTCGCTTGGAGATTGTCTAATTTCGATTGAGGAATACCGGGAATAGTTACGTCCTGATGCTTTGATGGGATAAGAAAGGTTGTCTACGTATCCACTAAAATTTTTAAAGGAATATGTCATAATGGAATGGAAATTATGCTTATTGGATGAGCATAGTGAAGCCAAGTTTTAAAAGGTTACCTCAGTGGACATTACTTCAAGCTTCGTAATTGTCTTTTGACATTACCGAGCATTTTTTCATGTCAAGACCCATGCTTTTTCAAAGACAGTTAAAAATTTGTAAAAATCCTTAAACTCATCTTCGGTTTTTTTTGTCTTGTTGGTAAAGTTCTGGTTCTGCGAGTGGTCATGCACCGGGTTGTACACACCCACAATCTTCTGCGGAAAGGCGCGATGGGCTTGTGGTGAAGTGCCTTCTGGAAGCGGCTCACCTTCTCCAAGCACTCAATGGAGGATGCAATATGTGCATTCTCAAATAAGACCATCATAAAAATATAGCTAAAATGAATCATAAATGAATCGTTTCCGCTCTGAACCATAAACCACGGGATTTACTGCTTCAAAACATCTACTAGACTAAATCCTTGCTTGTAAATAATCGAAAACTGTAGCAATCCGGAACTCATTATATAATGGTTTGTTGGAAGGTCGCAAAGTTGGAGGAATGGAAATTGTAGTAGTTTTTCTTTACGATAAATTTTTAGCTTTAATGCATTGTACTTCATTAAAAGGATGCCTTCTGCTTTCCCAGAGAAATTCAAAATTAGTCGAATTCAGAATTTGCATCCAATTGGAGGTTCCTTAAGGGTCATGTTACCAGTGGCCTTTTTCACCGAATTTAGAGAGCAGTGAAACTGCATTTTGTCCGACTTATCATTATTTTATTAGAGAGGAGCCAACCACTCTGACGCTCGCCATTGACAGTTGACATTTTAGTTTGAGGTCTCAAAACAACACCAGTGAATTCAGTACTTGAACATTTCTGATAGAATCAGACTTGAAATAAATTATTTGTAATAAAAATTAAATACTAGGAGTACACCTAGAATATAACTTTTAAAATGCCTGCCTAAATGGTTTTGAACAGAAGTGGAGTTATCCCAATGATACGAAAAACGATGGGCATTTTCTTATTCACCTGCGTGGCGCTCTCAACAAGTGAAACGTGTTTTTGGCGACCTTTTGCCCCCTCTTCTCCCCCTGTCCAGCCTCGCCTCGCCTGTCTCTATACTCTCGGTTAGCGTGATCGGTCGGATTACCTTGCTTGGACCAAATGAGCCAAAGATGGTATCTCTAGCGTCCCTCCGCCACCCAACCGTCAGAGCTCGTGCATTGGGCACACGCAATGCGCTGTAGTTGGCATGTAAAGAAGTATTAAGCCGAAAAGGCTTGTTTTGTATGTATGCGTTTGTGAGTTTGCTTGCCTACTGGCCCCATTTATCCACCTCGGGGTGTGTGTGTACGTAACGTGTGTTTTGTTGCTTGCAGCCTTACCTCTCTCCCTCTATTTGCTATCATGACAGTGCATCGCCAAACAATTCACCTTCACCACGCCAACAGAACAGACCAGAACGGAACCCCTCCTCACTTCCTTTAATCTAGTGTTTCATCTTAGTAAAACGAGTTTTTCTTTCACTGTTTCAGGATTAATAATTCAACAACCGTTTGACCTAATGCGGCTGAGTTCAGGGCTAAGATGGTTTGTACTCCGTCTACTGTTACAATCAAAAAATACCAAGAATAGGATAGTCTCAAGTCTGGTTGTTGTAACTTTTGACGGCATTTGTTAGTATTTCGTAAATCACCGGAGATTTCTGACTGCAAATCAAAGTATTTTGCAATTTATATTACCAGGGTTTGGAAAATCGCATTGGCCTTTTATGGCCACGAAACTATGGAGGCGATGCACAAAGTCTGTGAAAATGAAATCTGACCAGGGTGTAATATTTTGATGTTCGAAGGAAGCAGTTAAAAAACAGGAATAATATCAAGAATGAAATATCGCATTTTAGCTGATGTGCAGTTCGTTCTTCAAAGGAGAAATTTAGTGTTAAATATACGTAGAACCAGATAAGTCTTCCCAGATTGAGTCGCTTTAACTTCCATAACTGGTGTATTAGGGGGCAGAACAACGAAACAATGAAGTGAATGATCCAAAGGGGAAATGATAAAGTCAAGAAGTCACTGAAGGATTGGATGAAATGTTAATCGCTTCAAAAGCTTCTTATGTGTCGAAGTATTGTGGTTCACAAATACCCTCTGGCTAGCTCAACGACGGCAGAACATTAAAGGTAGATTGCAAAGGAAATAATTTTCCTAAAAACTTCAAAATCGAACCACTGCTTCCGCCAAATCACAATCGGTCTTGCTTAGGAGTGAATACTTTTATTGTTAAGCATAAGCTGACCCCATAGTAACCGATTCGGAGAGGTGAGTATCTGGGTGTTATTCCTGCCCGGTGCTCAAGTGACTGCTGTGGACCATTTGTGGCGCAGTCAACATGGTGAGGTGTGTTGCCTAAACAACTGTCTTCCTGCCGACTAACAACCACCACATGCGATAGACGCATAGGGTCTTCCAATGTCGACTGACCTCGAAGAGTCTCTTCACCCTCACCTTCCCCCTCCCACCATATCCGTCACTTGTTTATCAAAACAACTTCCGCCCGTGTAACAAAGCTCTCTATCCGCATTCATCATATATGGTATGGCTATCAGCACGTGTAACATCCAAGCACAGGTTGCTTACTCCATTTGGCTGTTTGGAGGGCATGGGGAATTGTGGTTAAAGGCATCCTGGAAATCGGATTTGTAGTAAACTGAATCACGTCTATGTCCTTTTGCAAATTGTTATAGGAATTTAAATTGGTTCAAGATTTTCCAAGGGAAAATCAACCAGCTTGCGCATCTTTTATTTGGCATTATCTAGACAAAGGCAGTTGATTACTTTTGAGTCACATATGATCCTTTTTTAGTCAGACGTGCATTACATTAATGAAATGCCAAATTTTCAGTGACACAGGAAATAGGTGTTTTGTGTATGTCTAAAGAAGATTTGGGGTACGGTTCTAGCCAGAGTATAAACCGAGTTCTATCATTTGGATCACACGGCCCCGTGATAGGAAGTTAGCAGCTGTTGTAGTTACCGCGAAGACAGTGGCAGCAGTGGAACCTAATTAACTCATCCCTCTAATAAGAGGTAATTACCTTCCTTTCAAAAATGCTTTGAGTTAGCTCATTCCGAACATTGCGGGTATCCGCAAAATTCCTAATTCCAATTCATCATGGAGCTGCATTATTTTCCTTGTCGGACCGGACCAATGGATTACTATTTGTTAGTCAGCAGAAAATGTGGCATTCTCTCTAAAACTGCCTTTTAAATGAAATTCGAGCGGAGAAGTCACCACAATTAAGGAGCTCCCGATGTTTGCCTTCATGGTTCTCCATATTTCGTTGTAACGCTTCCACCTACTCAGATCTTCTTCGACGATTCATTGGGATCTACTTAGGGATACTTGCATTTCATTATCCCTTTGAGGTAGCGAGTGCTAATGTTGTGCATAGTACATTGTTAACTCAAAGCAGTATAATTGTATCCCAAAACCATTCGATTGGTTAGAACTGACTATAACATCCAATAAAACCCGCAATCTCGCTAGTCAACTCTTTATATCTTTGCACTACTGCAGCGGTCGCCTTCACTGCAACAGCCGAATTGGGAAGCATTGAGGAAGAAGCTCTTATCTAATCTAAGTCGCTGTGACAAAAAGGTGGACAATCCGCCCATTCTTAACGTTGGATTGCACTTTCTAGCCCGCTAACAGGCGATTGGTTGAAGGATGAATGAAGAGCTTTGGGCCAGCGATTCACCATCAAATGCATTTTAAAGTTTGGCTTAAACTGCGTGGTTTCAGCTACTCCCTTGTCCGCACATTTCATACGACGGTCGGTCTTGCCGAATAACCATAGTTTTCCTTTGAAATGCATGAGACTATTGCTATGATAGGCAAGATAAAACTCCCCACAAGAGTGCCCTGTTTTAAAGTAGGGGAAATTATATTCAATTTCAATATCAGCCGCTTGTTGCTGCAATGACTGATTAGAAGAAGTAGAAGTAGAACCTCAAATGACTTCTGCACGTTAGGTCAACTAAGTCCTAAAATCAAAAAGTCCTTTTTAAAAGCGTCCGCAAATAACCAACAATACTCGCTCCCTAAGCTTATAAAGGGAGAGGTTGAAGCTTCTGAAAATCTTCCCTCCTTCCCTTTGTCTCTGTTGACATGCCTTAAATATCATCACATTCTTCTCAATGCCATTTTAAACGGAAAAAGTTATCCTTGCGTGCGAATCCCCACCTCTATCACCACCACCATTGCTCGCGGTGGCGGCAAACAATTGGTCGCAGTAGAACAATCACCCCCCCTTCCCCTCCCCCAAAGCCACATTCTTTGGTTATTCCAAACTGCCATCTTCGCCGTGCCGATAAAATAGGCGAGGCAAGCGGAGGAGGTGGTGGAGTGAGGGAGGGGAGGCTTGGCGCGTACCGAGCTCTCACCACGGTGTTCTGCGTAGAGGAGATACAATCTTGAATTTATTTCTCCTAGCTCCTCACCCTGTCCTATTTTGACATCAGATAACATTGTCTCTCTCTCTCTCTCCCTCTATGTAGGAGAGGGAGGGAGAAGGTGGAGAGGGGGTGGAGAGAATTCGAGTGAGCTGAGGAGCGAGTGGGTGAACGTACAAGTAGGGGACACAATGGTATCGCCAACCTTGGGAGAATTCGTAAGATTCGCTCCTCCCTTAAGTCATGAAAAGCCCTGAACTCCATCTGCTGCTGCCGCCTTTGGGTACATTTGAACTGTCATATGATAGCTAGACACACAGGAGTGTCTTCTGAGAGCCAGGCAAGGTGTGATAATAAGCGCACACGCGCTCCTGCGTGTGGATCAAACGAAGACGCCACGTAAGGCGAGTACGGCTAACTTCAAAGAAGAGATTCTGTAGCACTGATAAGATTGATGGTGATGCATCTCCTGTTTTGCCTTGGAGCATCTGAGAGTACGCCAAACCACGTCAAGGTAGTTGCAGTTAAAATTTATGCCCTATGGAGATAAAGTTACTTAGAACTTAAAGACTGGTCTCTTTCAGGACACAATATTAGTCGATGACGTTCAACAAAAAGCGTGCTGAGCTTATCCTTATTGCCCTGGAGATAGGGCTACATGTACATGGTTTCACTTAACTAAGAAAATTACCAGTGCCAACTTTAATGACATTCGCTGAGTTTCATAAAATTGGCGGCACTTTTTCCGATTTACTGGAAATCTGGAGAAGAAATCTCTGGTTGTTATTGGTTCCCACTTTTGTATGACAGTACTTAAAGTAAGCAGATCCGAATAAAAAAGTTAAGCACTCCACCTAAGTGTCGCCTTCTGAAATACACTGGCTGGTATTATAAGGATTCCCTATAAGGGTTTTAATGACTT